CACATTTGAAGGGTTTCTTTCTAGTGTGAATCATCTTGTGACACTTGAGGCTAAATTCTGTTGCGAGGCTCTTTCCGCAAAGATCACATGTGAACACATTCTGTCCAGTGTGAATTCTCATGTGGTAATTACGGGAGTATGCATTTACGAAACTCTTTCCACAATACTTGCAAGAGTAAGGCTTCTCTTGAGTGTGAATTCTCATGTGGATTTTAAGGTTTTGTTTTGCAGGGAAACTCTTTCCACACTGTTCGCATGTATAAGGCTTCACTCCAGTGTGAATGTTCATGTGAGACTGAAGGCTGTTTTTCTGTGTAAAACTCTTTCCACACTGATGGCAAGTGTAAGGTTTCTCTCCCGAGTGAGTTCTCATGTGTCTTAGAAGGTTTCCTTTTTGAGTGAAAACATTTCCACACTGTTGGCAGGTAAATGGCTTGTCTCCCGAGTGAGTTCTCATGTGATTTTGAAGGTTTCCTTTTTGAGTGAAAACATTTCCACACTGTTGGCAGGTGAATGGCTTCTCTCCCGAGTGAGTTCTCATGTGTCTTAGAAGGTTTACTTTTTGAGTGAAAACATTTCCACACTGTTGGCAGGTGAATGGCTTCTCTCCCGAGTGAGTTCTCATGTGCCTTTTGATGGCTCCTTGTTGAGCAAAGCTCTTTCCACACTGTTGGCAGGTGAAAGGCTTCTCTCCCGAGTGAATTCTCATGTGCCTTTTGAGGGCGTCTTGTTGAGCAAAGCTCTTTCCACAATGATGGCAGGTGAAAGAGCTGTTAGATTTGGTTTTCTGAGCTCTTTTTCGTATAGAAGCCGTTTTAGACTGTGTGGCTTTTTCACCAGTTATTAAATCATGGTGTTTCTCACACTGATCTGTCTGTTCTATTTCATTCGGATCTTGATTCTCCTCTTTCAGCACCAGCTGGTCTAAAGCAAAAAAGATAAATACAAGTTAACCACAGTTTAAAGCCACAAAGCAAAAGATATGAAAAGCAACATGAAAGCATTTAAGGCCGGGACACTTCAAAGAACTAGCGGCTACAAAAGCCGACGATGTTGTCTCCTTGCGTCGGCAGCATCTGGACCAAAAAGCTGCGATTGAATAAACCATACAGACTACAGCCGACTGCAAACTAAGACGTGCATTCTGTGCGAAAACAATTAGCTGTCTATATCAGCAGCTATCAATAGTATGTATTCGTCATTCAAAAGGAGAAACCGAAACAAGGATATACCAGATATACGAAACGTAAATAAAGCAGCGCTTACTTACCATTTTGAATATCAGTTATGTTGATAACTTTATTCATTTTTAGCCGCTCATGTTGTTATGAAAATACTCGCATACTTGGGTAAGATCACGTAACATTAGCTGCCTTCATTTACTTGTTTTCATCACTTTCACTTGAATTCTCGGGCACTGACTCGTTCGCTAAACTGAACTTCCAATCAGAGTTCTCACTCTCGCCGATGGCCCTGACGCCAATTCAATATGCTAAATTGGGCAAACTGCCGCCGACCTGGAGGTCTGCTACCCGATCTGAGTCCAACAGGTCTTGAAATACTCTTGGGTTTGGGTCTGGCTTGTAGCTAAACTAAAACTGTGTGCAGTAGGCTACGATGCTTTCATAGATGCACGCATACACACATAACTGAACACAGATATCTTTATCTCTTTTATCTCCTTGCACTGGCTACCGGCTGCAGCTCGCATCAAGTTCAAGACATTGATGCTTGCATATAGAACAGCCACAGGCTCAGCACCTGCCTACTTCCACTCACTATTACGAATTTACATCCCCTCCAGAAGTTCCCTCCAGAGATCCACTAGTGAGCGACGCCTCATGGTACCATCACAGAGAGGCTCAAAATCACTTTCCAGAACATTCTCATTCACCATTCCTGGCTGGTGAAATGATATTCCCACCCCTATCCGGAATGCTCTTTCCAGAACATTCTCGTTCACCATTCCTGGCTGGTGGAATGATATTCCCACCCCTATCCGGAATGCTGAATCCCTGACAATGTTCAAGCGACATCTGAAAACTCATCTCTTTCGATGCTACTTGACTTCATCTTAAAAAAAAAACTTTGTCTTTCTCTTTATTTATTCCTTCCCTTTCTAGCTTGTAGCATGAACAATGACCAAAACGTC